TTTTTCATACGAAAGACTAGGACAACGCCACTTCATCCACAGTCTGCTGGGATGGTAGAAAAGTACACTTGGATAGGAATTGGCAAAGTTTTGTAATAGCTGCCAAGATGACTGGGACGTCTTGCTCCCTCCATCGTTGATGGCCTATAGAACAGTAGAGCATGAAGCCACTGGATGCACTCCAGCAAAGTTGATGTTTGGTCGGGAACTTCGGTTGCCAGTGGATTTGGTAACAGGATGCCCACCTCATGAAGAGTTGCCTGAGAATGTGTCAGAGTTTGTGAAAGTGTTATCGGAAAGGATGGATGATATTCACCATCAAGTGCGTTCAAACTTCAAAACGTCTGCTGATTCGATAAAGCTATCTTATGATAAGAGAGCTACTGAAGTCAGCTTTGAACCAGGAGACAAGGTGTGGTTGTATAATCCCAGGAAGACCAAAGGGAAGTTTCCTAAGTTGTCATCTCCATGGGAAGGCCCATATGACATAGTGGATCGTCTCTTAGACGTGACTTTCCAAATAAAATGTGGTCGGCGAGGTAAGCAACAGATGGTGCATGCCAAGAGGCTTTGGCGTTATCATGGTCCAGGACATTTCAGTTGAGACGAAGTGAACAATGGAACAAAAGACGCCGCTGAAGATGTGTCACCTGGAAAGGCCACTGTCGAAGAAGAAAGTCTACTCAGTGTTGAAACGGGAAACAGTGAAGCTCTTGATGAAGTTACTACCACTGATATCAGTGACTGTTATCGACGATAGGACATTTCCTGATGAAGCAGATGAACCCCATATGAAGCAGAAGCCAACGAGACGGAGACCAGTACGGAAGAAGATACGTCCAGTAAAATTAAGAGACTTTGTTCTATTGTAATTTTGTGTTTGCAGTTCTGTACATCTAATTAAGTTATTGTTAATTGTTATTGGTTTAATAACAATACTAAGGAAGGGGCAGTGTTACGACAACGCAGGTCACGTGACGCTTGTATCACGCCACTTCCTTCTCGAACCTTCATGAAATATCGGGAGTTTACAAGATCTCGGTATTCTTTTATATATAAGACGGTCACAACGTGACGGAGGCAATGTAATGAGTAATTGAATGTATGCGGACAGAATATTGCTGAGCACGTGAGAAGTTCGTTGTGAATTATAGCGTTTGTTATAGCGCGACTGTTGAAAATAAGTGTATCGTAAAGTTGTATTCAGAAAGAATAAACCAGTTTTATTTAAGAAAGGACTTGTATCGGTAAAGTTTCTTCGGAAAGAATTTTTACGGAAAATTAACTGACGACCGGAGGCGTAACAGTATCTTCAACATTCCATGTGAAATGCCATTTCAAAGTAACTCATTTTGCCTAGTATGCAGCATATAGCTATAACTACAGTTACAGCATAAAAGGCTTTTCCTCCTCTGTGTAAAATATGCTCAAGTTATGGTCACCATGCCTTGTCAAGCAAGTGGGATTTTTCCAAACAGTCGCATTGCAAGTAAATCGCCACAGGTCTTTACGCGACGCGATTTTACCTGGAGCAATATTATATTTTCGCAGAAAAATTTCTATTCATACCAGCGGCAGTTCGCATATGATTCCTATTAGTTTGGTGCATTTGTAGTTGCGATGCCTTTTGTTATACCGCTTTGAATATCTTTATTCTTTGTATGATTCTTATTCTATTTTGCATTTATGATATTGCTTCAATAATGTGCACCACGTGCACTAAAGCTGCTTTCTGGTTGTTCAGTCTCAAAGTTGTTACGCGAAGAATATATATAAAAACAACAACAACAGAATTTAATAATAATTTTCACATCGCTCCAGTTTTGTCCTGTCATCGCCAGTCGTTTTGCGTAGGGTATGTAAAGAACTTGTCAAAAGTGTTGGATCTATTATCTTTCGAAATACGTCCAGTATAGAGATTTTAATACGTAGAGCTAATACATACACATTAGGTATATGGATTAGCCAGCTAGTGACTGTGGCGAAAGTCTTTTATAATAACAAAACTACATGTTGCAAACATTATCAGAATAAGAGTATTTATTTGTTTTAGTTAATAACCAGAGGTGTTTTTTGTCCAACTTTTAATACATTTTTTCGGGTAATATAATCATTATTGCCCTCTAGTTATTTAATAGATAAACAAGTAACAACCGGGAAAGTCAAATGTTTATTAAGTTCGAAGTTAGGCTTCAATTTTAAAAACAATTTTGAAGCAAAAATATCTTTTGTTACTAAGGTTGATTTTTTATATGTATTTATTCAGAGGAAATTGAAATAAAACGTTAAATTTAAATTCATTTCGGTACAGTAAATTTTGTTGTTTCTATGGATCATTTGGCAAAAAGCGTGGCTGATGAGCTTTTTCAAGAAGTTAGACGCGTTTACCACGAACGAGGAAAACGTAAGAAAAAATTCATAGAGCTATACCTATTTTAGTTTAAGTTAACTGAAGTTAATCAAGACATTTGCAACTTGTTTTTGTCTTTTTTAGGTCATATGCACTGAGTTGGAGACGTGTGTGACTGATAGTAATACTAATAGTGATACTAAATTACTATGATAGTTGATATTGAGTTATTTTAATTGATTTCACAAGATCATGATTCAGTGCATGGTCAAATAACCCAAAACAAATTAAATTTTAATGAAAATACAGATAGAATATAAATATGTTACACAATTTTTTGTAATACTAATACTCTTGTTTTTTAAACTAGTTTTTTTTCAATTTGATTTTTCAGTGACAGATGAAGTTTTATCTGCGTAAGTATATTTTAATTTGCTAAATCACTGATCAGTTTACTTTGAAATTAGGAAAGTGTTCTTAATGTCTGAATACATAAATGTGAAAGAGTTAAAAGAGCTATGTGTATTAATTTTGGTAAAGGTTTTAGAAGAAAGAAGTGTGCTAGGTATGATTTTGAGGAAAGAGTTTCACATCATATACACTAATTAATATAAAAAAACATGATTGTTTTGAAAGTGTAATAAAATTAATGACAAATGATGAAGTGTTGTTTTAAGCAGTTTATTCGTATGTAATATATTTTCACATTTATTAAACTAGCCTTTAGTTTCAGCTTGGGAAAATATGTTCATATTTCATTTTATGGTAGTATTAAAAAGCAATTTTGTATTGATAATACCTACAGTAAGATGCTACTTTTAATTAAGGAATCAGAACTTCGAAGGAATGTTTCTGTATTTAAAGTATGAACATTTTTGACTTGTGTATTTGTGAGGACATTTTCCTTGTATGAACTCATTTTGAAAATATAGTTATTATGTATAGGGTTGAACTTTTTCTCAATATTTCTATGGTTGTATGTAGTGTGTTCTTACATCTCAATTTCTTCCAAAACTTTTAAAGTTATTGCATTATAAATTATTTCATTTCCAAAGGATAACAAGGGCCATTTAGTCCATCTAGGCTTTCCTATTTTATACTACCACTCTACTCCAAACTACGTATTAAACCTCTTTTTCTACATTCCAACATTGATCTTTTCAATACTCTTCCAATCTTCTGTTAAGCTCTTTCAATGTCACTGCCTGTACCACACCCAAAAATCAAAGTAGGGCAGATGACTCTCGAATAGCTTTTAACAAAATTCAATTAAGAAAGAATAAAAATATGAACACCCTCTTGGAATTTCTGATAAATATTTTTAGTTATACAAGTAGCTTAACATAAATGTACAAAAAACAGTGTAATATTGGATATTTAATTATATAGTATAAAATCTAGATTTATATATATATATATATATATATTTTGAAATTGGATATGCTTATATTTTGCCTTAAAAGGTACTTCCTTCAAGTCATCAGTATGTACATTTTGCATATATAAGCCCAGAGATGATTGGTTAGCTAACTTAAAAGTAGTTCATTATATTTGTTTTCATTATCTTTAAGTAGTTCATTATATTTGTTTTCATGATCTTTAAATGTTTAGAGCAGTGTACATTAGCATCAAAAATATTTGTACTCAAAGCTTAAAGAAAACAGACTCGGAAATTACTCGGATGTAGCTTAGGGTGTCCCTGGTAGCATGTCTTGAGCATTTTATGTTGTACATATTTGTTGTTGTATAGGATTTTTAATTTTGCTGATTGTTGTACACACACCTCCATGCAAACACACATTAAAATAATAACTATCACATCCTTTTTTATTAACAAGACAGGGCTCACACTTAACTTTTCTTAGGGAGCCAGCCAGGCCCCAAAAACATATTTTTAGGGGTCAATCCTATAGCTCACTGTAAAGTGTACTCTATAGTGGAGTTTATCAGAAAAAATCACTGAATTAAATAGCAGATGTTACATAAGTTGAAAGGAAACTAAAGATATTAACATATCTCAATTTATTTTGTTGTGAACTCGTATTTCATGAAAGAAAAAAAAGGTCAAACCATTTCTTTCAGGCTACTTAAATGATTTTTAATCTGTATATCATATTTAATTTCTCTCTAAAGCATGATATAACAGAAACTTTTTTGTTCCCCTTTAATGTAGTGTCCTTTCCTGGTCAAAATATATAATGAAAGAAAATCTTTGCATCACTATCAGTGGAATCTATTCTTGTTAGTATATAACCCATTACCATCAACCTGACACATATTTGGCAATAAAATTTAAAACAATTTTGATGGAGAGGTAGAAAACTCATACAATTTATATTGCCATTAACTTTATAGCTATCGGTTCTTTCATATCCTGAAACAACTGTTATTTATTCATTCATGAATTTGAATTTGTAATAACCAAATTCCTCAAATTAACAACATAAGGAAAATGTGCAAATAGCTCTAAAATGTCTTAATTAAACTTAGTGTCCTTTCCTAATCAAAATAAATAATGAAAGTAAATCCAGTATGCATCAATGTCAGTAGCCGATGATGTCCCAACATCCATTTTTTGGATTTTTTCTTCATCCTCTTCTTCATCGCTCTCATGCACTTGCTTCTCAATCTGGTCCTTGCCAGCCTTTGGTCTCCTTGTGTGAAGTGATCCTGAGTTCCAAAGATGGATAGCTGTTATGGGATGAAAGTCACTTATTGAAGGTAAGTGGAGCATGACCAGAAGGTGATCAGTGATCCTGTCAGTTGCCAGACAAGATCTCAAATTGGTCTTGATCATCTTCATCTTGTTGAATCATCTCTCTGCTTCAGCAGAACTAGCTGGTACAGACAACAGTGGGTCAAAGAGGCCACAGATGTTAGGTAGCTGCTCCTTAACCCCAGGGATGATAGCAGCCCAAGGCCAGCTTTTCTTCCTATGCCTGGTGAAATTAAGTAATGAAATTGAAGTGGAGAATGCATCAGAGAGACCATCATGAGAATTGCATCATTATTCCTGTTTTTAAATCATTATTTTTTCTTCATTTAAAGTTATTATTTTATATTATGCAGTGTTTCACCGATAATCAGTTGGCAATCAGAATCGGCCAGTTATTGCATAATTGGATGAAAATCAGAATCAATAGAATTTCTCAATCATGGAAAACCAATCGCCAAGAAATAAAATTTCACCATCGAGACCACTTTAATTATAACAACAATCTTCTGATTTGTAAATATGCTTACAGTCACGACCCTGTACTTTTCCTTTCGACAGGAAACATTATTCACCATAAAATGAAATATCATCAGTTAAACATTCTTTGTCTGTTTTCCATTTATTTACATAAGTTGATACACTGAACAAAAGAAAGGTTAAAAAAACAATGCTCCACACATTGCAAAGCACACCCGTTTCTTTATGAACCATACATTAGCAAACATTCAATAACAGCACCCTATGCACAGAGCTAATACACACTGTCTACTTGCCGGAGATCTACGTGGACTTTTCTTGCAAAGTTCTCGGGTGATACACCATGTGGCTTCCCATTAGTACTGCACTGTGTATTAGTTCATTGTTTGGAGAGGTCACCGAAAAGCACATGACAACAGAGCAAATGAAAATGTGGAATGTCCCATTACTTTGCAATAGGGGGAATTGTTTGAATTGAGCATGTCACGTTTGATTGAAAGTGGTAAACAGGTATATACAAATATTTACAAAATAACTAACGTATTGGATGGCTATGGAACATTTCATTTCATCATTTGACAGACCTGTTACTTATAAATATGCACAGTTCCAATAAATTACCATAAAGTTAGTTGTGGCTCAACAATCATAATTTTTAATTGGTTGGATTGCTTCTGAATGAGAAGAACTAGATATTTTGATTTTTTTCGAGAAGGAAACAAATGGTTGAAAAACAAGAATCACGAAAGTGGGCATTTGTCGTAACTGACTGCCCATTGCACCTGTAACTGACGGGGGAGTGTATACATTTTTCTTGACAGTAAAAGCTAATATTTTGTGATTTCAGACAAATGTCAAAATTGACAGTTTAAATGCTGAGATTTGAAACACGTTTGATGAAAGCATGTGTGTCGAGCCAGGAGGTGATAACTTTTAAATAATTACACCAGCATGATGTAGGACTTCTTTATCATAATAGATTTAAAGTTGTCATTTTTTTTTAAGGCTGAAATTTGATCACTACATATGCAATAAAGATACAGTTAGGAGCATTTTTTTGATAAGGCCAATTAAAAAAAAATATTTCAGCAACTGAATTGAAGATTCCTCTCTTTACGAAAAAACTCTCAAACACTGTCATTTTTTTTTACCTTTGGTTGGAATACTTTCTTCGGTTTAGAAAGTGGTTGAGTTTAAAATGTGTAGAGTGATAAAAAAAGTCTTCAAACTCATGGCTGAAGTGAATGATGAATTTTGGCAATAAACCTCTACAATTTGTTTGTCTCTCACAATGGTCGCATAAACATTATGTATCAATCATGTACTAGCCACAAGGTCAGTTCCCATTTTTCATTTTACATTCATCCAAATAAATAATGGAAAGGAGATTGTGATTTTTTTCCCTTGCACATTTATTGATAATTTCAACCATTTCGAATTTAGTGAAGCTTCAAAATACATTCTCTGTAGTCATTACAATACTACACAATGAAATAATCAATTTTACTGTACATAATTAGAATCGGTTGATTGTGTGGTATAATAATTGACAATTGGTGATTTCCGATTGTGACAAGATTAGTAAAACAGTAATATTATGTATAAGCAGTATAGTCAGTTTTCCAAACAACTTACAAGTTTTCAATTTTTACTTGCCTGTTTTTGGAAAGTGTTGACAAAGAAGAACTTGTATGTACATCTTTCAAAGGTGTGTGCCTTGATGCAGTCTTGGTGTCATATATTAAAGTTAAAAATTAGCATTCTTATTGAAAACAGTAGTCATCTTTATAAAAGTTCAAATAATCATTCTATATTTCAAATTTTATTAATGAAATTTTATATATCAATTCCATTTCACTGATATAAAAAGTTTGCATATTGGACAAAATGATGGCATTCTTATTAATGAAATTGCATTTACTTTGAATACATAGTAGTTAATAGTGATGACTTTTATGAACTGTACATGACTGACAAGCATTCATAAATTTGGGATGGTCCATTCATGGTTTGTAATAAGTTCTGCTTGGATAAGAAACATTTAGATCAATTTAGGTGGAGTCAAACTTTTAATGGCTCTTTTGATTTTAAAGGGCCAAGCAAGCTACCTAGTAGACACTATTTACAGGCATGCTGGCATTTTTTGGGGCCACTCGGTAATTTTGAACTCTGCAAGACATGAACAACTTGTAGTCTTTCATGGTGGGATAATGTAGCTTTAGG